GACCGGAAGAAGATGATTCGGTGACTGGATCTTGATGATTCACCGGTGATTTCCCAGAATGGGAATGAAGAACCCCCATGGAATCAGTCAATTGTAGCATTTGAGCAATCATCAGTGAGATCTGGTTCTGTGACTCGCCGAAGCGATTCTGCAAAGCTGCAACCACCTCTGCTAATTCCTGAACCCGCATTGTGAGAAGAGATCAAGAATGAAAGCACTAGTATTGCAATTTACCTGAGCAACAGGAAGAAGAACCAAGAACAATGAAATGGGTAAAGAACTCTCTGAGCAGCAGAAAGTACAATACGTGTATTCAAGTAACCGATTGTTTATTACATCAATGAATGAATCAGAATAATGTTCTCTTTGACATATATACAATGTTCCTACTTAACCCTTGACTAGGTGTCCTATTCTAACTTTCCCACTTCCAACCCATTACACCTGTCATCTAACTCACCAACCACTTACACGTGTCCTCAGCAATAGTAGTCTTTAAGCTTTGATGAAGGAACTCTTTCCCTGATTATTTTGGCCGGCTCAATGCTTTCTCTTCTATTCTGTTCATTGCTATTGTTGTCCCTTTGTGTAACAGTGACTTACTGAATATATCAGTAATATACTAATGTATGAAAAGATTGCATTATGCAGATAGGGAAATGGATCCTCTAATGTGCTAAAAAAATATGATATGGTTATTTGGGAAGATCACAACCATACAAAGGTAAATCAACGGTTATGATTTCGTAACTACCTATTTTATCATTTTTCTCTCTCCTCCTTTTTTACCATTGATCCACCTTTGTATGATTATAATTTCCCACATTACATGGTCACGTGAATTTTCACATATCCAGATCCATGCAGATAGTGAGCAAACACCCACCTCGTCCATACCCTTTAACCCTCAAATGATTGGAGTACGGACCCGGTTTTCTCGTACTGTTTAGACTAATCAAACTGTTCATTTAATCCAAAAAATAAAGGTCAGTTCCAAAGGGAAAAGGAAATAGCTCCTGTTTTTTCGGTGGTTCAAGGAAATAGCTCCTTATTTCCTATTGAAAAAAATGGGTTATTAGAACATAAAAAAGTGGTAATATATATATAATATATATATATATATATATATATATATATATATATATATATATATATAAATATATATATAAATATATACGAGGCAGGTTATATTTACAAACTTTTTTGTTTACAAACTCTTACAAACTACACTAAGTACGACCCGTCATACTTTAATCATGCAGTATGCGGCCAGTTGTACTTAGTGTGATTTGCAAAAAAAAATTGTAAATGAATCCTATCCATATATATATATATATATATATATATATATATAAGAAAAATATTTTTCAAGTTGCTTGAGATATATTTATCTCCGGCCAGCCCAAAACTACGTCGTTTTGCTTATTTATTTTCTTATATTTATTGATTCACTTTTAAATGGATATGATTTTCTTTTTCTCTCTCTTCCTTAATCACCATTGATCTATCTTTGTACGGTTGTGATTTAGTGGTCGGAGATAAAGTTATCTCAAGCAACTTGAGAAATGATAAGCTATATATATATATATATATATATATATATATATATATATATATATATATATATATATATATATATAGGGATTTATATTTCTGCAACTACTGTACGTTAAGCAGTCAAATACTTGCCATATATATACGTGAAAAATTGGAGTATTATCTTCCTCTCTCAGGTAAAAGGGATGACAATCCCGCGCGGGGTAGATTTTGAAGTATTCAACACTCCACTTATTTACTTTCCTTTGATAGGATCACAAAATTTGTGTTTTGTATTCCCCCGAAATGATACCCAACTAGAATGCGTCCTGATATGCCTGCAGCATATATATGATTTTAAGCTAAAAAGAGAAAGAATCTTGATCAATCTTGAATAAAAAGGGCTAGAATTACTATTAATATGATAAATCTCAATCAGATACCTTGTCACTGATTTTCTTACGATTTTGTAGGAAAACAAGACAAAAAAAGCCCGAATTGACAGTACAAATCTGAAGCTCTGCGCTACTGGCGCGAGCCTGCTGTATGCTAAATAAAACTCCCACGCTATTAGCGCGAAACTGGCGCTAGTAGCGCGGGAGGTACGGGAAAATCTTTAACTTATCTCAGATTGCATAAGAGAAGATTAAACCCAAGATACACAATGAAGATTTGATCAAGATTTCTAAGCAAGGCACAAAGTCTATAAATAGAGACTCAGACCCCAGAAGGCATCATCTTTGGCTGGAGAGAATCATGAGCACAAAGAATTGAGAGAATTCTTGGAGACTCGCGCTGGAGATCAGAATTCCAACGGAGTTGAAGACCGCAGACCATTGATCTTCCATCTTCTTCTTCTTCTTTTCTTTTTCTTTCATGAATTTTTTTTCTTATTTTAATTTTTTTAAGTCAGACATGAATATGTCTGGCTAATTCCTTTTTGTAGTTGAGATCACGGACCCGATGTGAATCCTTTATATTTTCTTTATTATTTTTATAAGTTAATTAGTTAATTTGTTTTATTCTACCTGTGTTAATTTTTCCATATCCTGATTAGAATTGGCCACTCTAATTATAAGGCTTTGAGGGTTAGAACTCACAATAGATATATTGGAGTTTTAGTCTGGACAAGGGTAGAATAAAAATTTGTGTATGACCTAGACATAGGCTTACATAGATTGCATACTTTTAATTCATTTGCTTAATGCTTAATTCAAGAGGGATTACTAGGACACTAGGATTCTAATTGGGTTAAAGGTTGAAATCACTAAGACATTAGGGTTCAACTATTTTATAGAAAAATAATGAATTGTCTGAGCAAATCAATTAGTTAATTATAAAATACAATATAAGAATAAAAGGGAAGATCGGAGGTGAAGTGCATCCTAGCTACAGTCTTTTTACAAATTTCAATCAATCTCATATTTTCTTGTCATTCTTGGTACTCTTGCATGCGTTTTAATATTAATTGTTTCTAAAATTCTGTTTTTAAATTAGAACAATCACTTACTTTCACAAATCAAAACAATTTTTTTCCATCTTAAGGGGAATAGCTAAGTTAATACTTGGTGCATTAATCCTCAAGGGAACGATATTTACTTATCATTTTATTACTTGAAACGAACGGTATACTTGTCGATTTTGCAAAAAGTTTTTGGCGCCGTTGCCGGGAATTAATTACGCCAATATTAGTTTTAACTTTCGATTTTTAAGATTGGAATTTTTATTTTTATTTTTTTACTGCTTTGATTTCTCTCTTTTATGGGAGGTAAAGCTAACAGCGAACCTTTACAGTTTGATCCATAAATCGAAAAGACTGCAAAGAAGAACCGGAAGCTAACCAAACTAAGGAAGCAAGAGGAATCCTCGAGTTCAGAGCCAAAAGCAAAACCCGAAATGGCAGCACCTAATCCACCACCAGAGGAGGAATTGATGGAGTCAATCTTTGATCCACTGTTCACAAGGCCAAATTCTAGCATCATCAAACCACCAATCAACGCCAATAATTTTGATATCCAGCTAGCACAGATATCCTTGGTGGAGAAAAATCCATTTGGTGAGGAAGATTATGAAGACCCCCATGATTTCATGGACAGATTCCTGAGAATCTGTGACACTACCAAGCATAACGGGGTGTCAGATGATGCAATTAGACTCTGGCTGTTCCCTTTTGCTGTAACAGGGAAAACTCTCAGATGGTTGGATAGACAAACTCCCAACAGCATCAGAACGTGGATGATTTGGCAGCCAAATTCTTCCCAGAGCACTTTTCCAGGGATAAATACAACAAGCTGGTGAATGAAATCACCGACTTCACTCAACAGCAAGGAGAAACGTTGTGCGCAACTTGGACCAGAGTCTAAGAACTGATCAGAAAGTGTCCCCAATATGATTTACCAGACGGAAAGAAGGTCAGAGTCTTCTACAATGGAATGACACCAGACTCCATAATGGTTGTCAATGGTGCAGCTGGTGGAACCATAGGGAAGAAAACAACAGCTCAAACCTTAGAGCTTATAGACTTCATGGCAAGTAATGAGAACGCATCAATGACGGTTCAACCAGTTCAACCAAAGAGGGGACTTCTGAAATTGGAAAACAATGATGCATCGCTAGCATAACAAAAGATCCTATCTTAACAGATCGCCAGTTTGAATGTTAAGTTGGACAAGATGCAACTTTCTACAGCTCAAGTTAACTCGGTTAACTGTGAGGATTGCAAAGGAGAGCATGATACCAACAAGTGCCCAACTTTGATAGGATCAGATGCAATACAAGTTAACGGAGTCTGGTATAAACCAAAACCACTGCAGAACTTCCAGAGAAACTAGAACAATGCTCCAGGGAACAACTTCCAAAGGAGAGTTCAAGGGACAGGTTTGGATTACAAATCCAATAATTATTTACAACCTTTTCAAATTCCGCAAACTCAACCATCTGAGCTAGAGAGAGTGCTGATACAGTTGACGAAGACAACTGACACATTTATGAATGAGACAAGAGCTTATCACGAAAATCAGGATGCATCTCTCAGAAATTTGGAGAACCAGATTGGACAATTGTCAAGACAACTAGAAGAAAGGACTAAAGGCTAGTTTCCAAGTAATACAATAGTCAATCCGCGAGAAGAATGCAAGTCAATTGTTACAAGGAGAGGAATTGTGATTACTCCTCAAGAAAAACCAAAAGTGGTTCAAAAAAAGAAAACAGACGAACCAGTAATTGAACCGGAGCAAGAAAAAGAGGAGGAAACACTTGCAAAAGAAGAACCTGCGAAGAAAGACAAATAAGAGGCAAAGAAGAAAGCTTCAGAGACTCCAAAGAAGCAATGAGATTTCTCTCGCTTTGAGAAATCACCTTATCTCATAAAGTCAAGGCAAGCACAGAAGCAACAACATGCCCGGTTTTTAGAAATATTTAAAAAGTTGCAAATTAATATTCCCTTTGCTGAAGCTTTAGCTAACATGTCTAACTATGCTAAGTTTATGAAAGAACTCTTGTCTAGAAAGCATAAGTTGCAGGAATTTGAAACAGTGGCTCTCACAGAGGAATGCAGTGCCATAATTCAGAAAAAGTTACCACCGAAGCTTCGAGATCCAGGGAGTTTCAACATCTCGATTGCGATAGGCAACATTAATGTTGGACGGGCATTGTGCGATCTTGGAGCAAGCATCAACCTCGTGCCGCTGTTTGTGATGAAGTCTCTCAGAATTTCCGAGTTGAAGCCGACAATGGTATCTCTCCAACTTGCTGACATAACGTTGAGAAGACCAAACAGAGTAATTAAAGATGTATTGGTCAAGGTGGACAAGTTCATCTTCCCAGCTGACTTCGTAGTACTCGACATGGAAGAAGAAGGAAACATGTCTCTTCTGTTAGGTAGGTCGTTCCTTGCAACAACCAGAGCCATGATTGACATGGAGAAAGGAAAGCTGGAGCTGAGAATGGATGACGAAAAGGTTACCATCAATGTGCTCGATGCAATGAAGCATGCTGAAGATAATAGCGACTGCTTCCGGGTTGACATTCTTGAAGAATTGTTTCAAGAAAAGAAAGAAGATCAGACTCTTGAAGAAGAGAAAGAATTCTTTAATGAAAATCCTCCGAAGGAAGATGCTGAAATTCCAACGGAAGAGTTGAAAAAGAAAAAGTCAGACATCACTGCTGAAGCACCAAAGGTGGAATTAAAAGAGCTTCCACCTAATCTAAAATACGTCTTCTTAGGAGATGAAGAGACGTATCTTGTCATCATCAACAAGGAGTTATCTAAGACTGAAGAAGCCAAGTAGATGAATGTGCTCAAAGACCACCAAACAGCCATAGGTTGGTCCATCTCCGATCTCAAAAGAATCAATCCTTCCTTTTACACTCATAAAATACTGATGGAAGACGACATCAAACCTGTGAGATCAGAGACGACTAAATCATATCATGAAAGAGGTAGTTTGGAAGGAAGTAGTGAAACTCCTTGATGCCGCCATGATCTACCCAATCTCAGACACTGCATGGGTAAGTGCTGTCCAAACAGTGCCAAAGAAATGTGGAGTTACAGTGATCAGGAACGAGAATAATGAACTGATTCCCACCAGAACCATAACTGGATGGAGGATGTGTGTGGATTATAAAAGATTAAATGCTGCCACACGGAAGGATCACTTTCCTCTCCCTTTCATTGATCAGATGCTGGAAAGGTTGTCCGGACATGCATGCTACTATTTCTTAGACGGTTACTCCGGCTACAACCAGATACTTGTTGCACTAGAGGATAAAGAGAAGACAGCTTTCACTTGCCCCTTTGAAGTGTTCTCCTACAGAAGAATGTCGTTTGGTCTCTGCAATGCACCTGCTACTTTTCAAAGGTGCATGTTTTCCATCTTTTTGATATGATTGAAAAATCATTGGAGGTATTTATAGACGACTTCTCTATCTTTAGTTCTTGCTTTGATTCATTTTTAGTTAATTTATCTAAAGTATTGAAGCGTTGTCAAGAAATAAACTTAGTTTTAAACTGGGAGAAATGTCACTTTATTGTAAAAGATGGAATAGTATTAGGCCATAAAATTTCTGAAAAAGGGATAGAAGTTGATAAAGCTAAACTATTATTAATTAAAAAACTTCCCCCTCCTGCTAATGTGAATGGTGTTCGAAGCTTCTTAGGCCATGTAGGTTTTTACAGAAGATTTATCAATGACTTCTCCAAAATTGCAAAGCCCTTGAGTCAACACTTGGTGAAGGATAGTGATTTTAAATTTGATGATGAGTGTCTTAAGTCCTTTAATCTGTTAAAGGAAAAGCTGACAACTGCGCCTGTCCTGATGGCGCCTGATTGGAACCTTCCTTTTGAGCTCATGTGTGATGCAAGCACATACGCAATTGGAGCAGTACTCGGTCAGCGTAAAGATAAGCTATTACATGTGATTTACTATGCTAGCAAAGTTTTAAATGAGACACAAGTAAACTATGTCACAATTGAAAAAGAAATGCTAGCTGTAGTATATGCATTAGATAAATTTAGATTGTACTTGATAGGATCTAAAGTTATTGTTTTTACTGACCATTCTGCATTGAAGTATCTCATGAGTAAACAGGATGCAAAGCCACGGCTGCTGCGTTGGATGTTTCTCTTCCAGGAATTTGATATGGAGATTCGAGACAAGAAGGGAGTTGAAAACAAAGTAGCTGATCACTTGTCAAGGATTCAAGACAAAGAATTGCAAGATGGACATGAGATTGAGATAAAAGAATCCTTCCCTGATGAACAAGTGATGGCAGTTCGATTCGGACCATGGTTTGCAGAATTCACGAATTACAAAGCTGTAGGATCAATTCCCGAAGAACTCACATGGTAACAGAAAAATAAGTTCTTGTGTGACGCAAAGCGGTACTACTGGGATAACCCTTACTTATATTTTCAATGTACTGATGGGATTATTCGCATGTGTGTAATCGAGATGGAGATTCCAAAGATTCTTTGGCATTGCCATGCGTCAAATTACGGAGGACACTTTGGTGGGAATAGAACAACACATAAGGTCCTACAAAGTGGGTTCTACTGGCCCACAATATTCAAAGACCCAAAGGAGTTCATAGAGAAGTGCGACAGATGCAAGAGGACAGGAAATATTTCCCGAAAGGATGAGATTACTGAATTGCATACTGGAAGTGGAAGTCTTCGATGTATGGGGAATTGACTTTATGGGACCCTTTCCTATGTCATATTCCAACCAGTATGTAACACCCCGTGTATACCCGATTTGTCAACATGTCATCGTATTAAGTCACGCTTAATTAAAATGCGGAATATCTTTTTCTGTTCAATTATGATGTCATTAATATTAACCAAGTTGATTACTTAGTTCCTTTTCAAAACATGGCCTGTATGTAATTGCAATTAAACAACTAACTGAAATACCTCATTAAATAAATAACTGAAAGTGGATCTCTAGTCACGGAACTACAACACGTAGACCGGACAGATCCTGATAGTTTATACAACTCAAAACTAAAGGCATAAAGTCAAGTCAATGTGGCATGGACAATCTCCATGCTCACCAAATAAAACAACATAGCCAACAAAGTCTCATCTCAATAATCCATAAAATGAAGCTAATAGCATAAAAGCAACAGACATAATCCAGCATCCAAACATAATCAGCATAAGCAGAAATATCAGCTAAGCTCCGGCCTCCTGCCGCTAGAAGTCTCAACCCCTGGGTTACCTGAACCTGAAATAAGCGCCCCAAACGTGGGGTGAGATCTCTAAATAGAAATCTCAGTAAGGCAAGGGGTCCTCAAGGATTTTTCCACCCCAAGCTCACTTACATGTGCAATATAAGTTCTAAAAGCAGTTTAACAACATAAGTTTCAAATCAGTGCAATGCAGCAGATAATCATGTCATGTGAGTTAACTATTCTACTGGATAGAGAAATACAGGATTTACACACGTCTATTATCCACATAGTACACGCCCATGTCGTACCTGCCCATAGAATCACATCTCGTCTAGGCGAAACATCACATACATATCATAGGCATTTGCATTTAACAGCTCAAAAGCATTTCAATAAAGCAAAACATGAAAACACATCATGCATATAAACCATTCCCCTATGGGGTATGGTGAAACCAACAATGGCTAAACCGAGAACACGAAAGCTTACCTTGCAAGCTAATTATCCAAGCCAAGAGTCCACACAAGCTCATAGTCCACAAACAGCAAGATCACATTCTGTTTTAGACCAACAATCATATCAATATTCATACTCTACAAGCATATGACATAAAGACACGCTTTCCTCTCACGTTTCATGTCTTTAGGCTTCTCACAAAGTCATAAGCCCTTAATCACTTAGATTCTGACTCAGATAATTCCTTACAGAAGTACACATTAACCAATTATGGATCCACAAACCCAAAATAGCATTCTGTGTGAACAGTACCATTATTGTCTCGAACTTTCCAGAATATCCAGATATTTGTCGGGGGCATATCCGGATATCATATCCGAATATGCATATCCGAATATTATATTCGGATATCCATATTCGGATATCTCAAGACCCCATATCCGGATATCAATATCCGGATATCATATTCGGATGTTTCGCAACAGAATGCATTTCTGCATTTCGCGAGATATCCTTCCCAAAAGTAGCTCTTTTAATGATTCCAGAGGCTCAAACATGCATTTCTAGGGGTGTTTAACCTTACCAAACCTTAAGTTATCAACTTTAGTTCATTACATGCATTAAGGTTTCATTTTTAACAAAGGAAACTCAAGAACAAAAGTGATGATCATACCCCAAGTTCAAAACAGAGGTGAATGATGCTCTTGAAGCTCTCTAAAACAGCCTCTATGTTCTGACTTCCTACAGTGCACGAAAATTTGCTCAAAGGTTGGTCCTTTCTCTTCAACAATCACTCCTTGAAGCTCAAAAAGCTAGGACAAAGGCCCTCTCAACCCAACCAAGAAGTCAGCACCTAGACTCCACCAAGACAGTGGCCACAACCCAGAAACAAGGTCAACAACTCACCCGCAATGATAACCCTCACTCACACCAAGTGTTTAGGAGAAAATTTCATTAAGGGTGTGTTTGGTTAGAGGATTTTGGTTAGATAGATGGGCAAATGTTAAGTGGGATTGTAAGGATACCACATTTGGTTGAACCACTTCCAAACTTGCCTAGCTAAATTGGAATGATAGGTGACCAATTTGCATGTGTATTTGGATCAATTTAGCCGGCCAAAAATCCCACTTTAGATGTGGTATTGGGTCTTATCTATGTATTTGCTTATATTGTCTAAGAAGCAGATGACCTGTGTACCCCGCGTGAAAGTGAAAATGTCGTACCCTGTTTCTGCTGTAGGAGACCCTGGAATGTAGAGAAATGGACTGAGGGTGGTCTTTGAAGCTTGGAAATTTTGCAATGAAGTTGGCCAAGAAGCTCTTCTCATGGGTAGCCCAAGAGCTGCTGAATGTTGGATGATAATGCTGAAAAAATGGCAACTACGATACAGAATCTGGCTTATGTCCCAAGGATGGGAAAAAGGTACCCCTTTTAGTCCGGGGAGGTTTCCATGCTTTGGACAAGGGTGTATGAACCAGCTAACACAATACAGGTTGTTTAACATATAGACGTTGGAACATGACAACCCTTTTAACGGGTAAAGGGTCTGATTCAAAATATCTTGAAAACAGGGTTATTTTGGTAATAACAATCTTTTTTTTCCATCTATATTTTATCTACATCCAAACATAGATTTTATAAATGTTACCTAATTTTCCCGGTTAAATGTTTTCCAACCAAACAACTCTTTTTTTACATTTTCCTATCAAAGTCACTTTCCAACCATTTCCAACTATTTCCCTATGTATATCATTTTCCTATTATTCATAAAATTTCTCCTCAACCAAACGTCCCCTAAGGAATGGCCTCTAGGCTCACACAAAGAGGAGAGAAAACAATGGAACAGTGCACAAGCTGACCAGCCACCAAGGTTTCATGTAGCATTAATGTATGGCCTAGGGTTATGTGCCTAAAGTTGTATTTATAGCATTTTAAGTCTTAAGCACACAATATTAGCACTAATAGCTACACTTAGCATTTAAATCTCAAACTTAGGATTCTGAACCTACTCATTTTTTTAAGATTTTTCATATTTTTATTTTATTTTTCGCAGCACATTTTCGGTACACGCTTTTACATAGCCAGTATCAGTTCTAGCACCAGTTTTCATTATTTCGGCCTGAAACTTGTTTTACCAGTCCTATATATTATTCTAGTAATA